AAATATATCAAACGCATTTAAGTAATTGAAAAAATCATCTCTATCGATCATATATTGTTTATGATACAGATCATATACAGTAAACTACAGTTATAACGAACTCACAGGGTCCACTAATTTAAATGCGTTATAACAGTAGCTCGTTATAAGCATATGTGCAGGATATACACAGCAATTGTCCTGGTCCAACAAACAGTACGTTACCCATCAGTTCGTTATAAGCTTGTTCGTCACAAACGTAGTTTACTGTATTTGTTTAAAGATCGTTATTTGTAGTATACCAAGAATTAAAAAGCTTCAGTATGCACATTAAAAAGCAGAATCAATTATACTTTCAAACTTTAACTCAATCTTAAACGGAAATAACAGATTCTGTAAAATACATATGTAAGAATTGGAAAGGCTTGACGTCTATACGTGACAGAATCATGATCAGCGTGGAGAACCGGTCCCTCAAGGCGGGTAAATTTGATCCAGTGACTTTTATCACATAGTTAATGTGATCCAGTGACCATGCTGTTTGACTCAGCTGATGGCCTGATATCGTTGGATTTGATCGTTGTGCCCTGTATTGTGTGCGGCAGTACAGCAACAATAGCATAGATAAGGGGTTCTACGCCAACTTATGTAAAAGGAGACACAATTGATCTGACCCGTGAAGATTCCGGGGTAGAATAGGTCTTCAGCAACCCATGCTTGCCGTAAAAGGCGACTATGCTTGTCGTAAAAGGCGATTAACGGGATCGAGTGGTCAGGCTCACTGACCTGGTTGATGCATGCTACCGATCCCAATTGCGTGGGTCGATGCTCATGATATCAATCACTGGATTGTCTGGTCCAGACTCGAATATTTTACAGACCGCCGTCATATAGCTGGAATATTGCTGAGTGCGATGTTTAACATCAAACAAACAAACAAACTAAAATGTTATCATACAACATACGATAAACCAACAGAGAGCCTGACCACCCAATCCCGTTAGTCGCCTCTTACGACAAGCACAGTCGACTTTTACGACAAGCATGGGTTGCTGAAGACCTATTCTACCCCGGATCTTCACGGGTAAGACAACATGTAATACATGAAAGAATATAATTTTTAATAACGGCGGTCCTTAGTATCTTGAACATATGAACATCGACAATTTGCAGAACGGTAGTCTTTGTTTTCTGGAATATATAAACAATTGAATATCGACATTTCTCAGGATGGTATTCTTTATACTGGAAGATAAGATAGCTACGCGATAACTCGCAAAGAACAAGGACGAACGAAGCGTGGTCGGGGAGCCTAGTGGTTAAAACGCTCGTCACGTAGAAGACCCGGGTTCGACATTGGTACAATGTGTGAAGCCCACTCCTGGTGTCCCCCGCCGTGATATTGCTGGAATATTGCTAAAAGCGGCGTTAAACCATACTCACTCTAACAATAAAACATTGTTCTATCATGACGTCATTTCTGGAGATTCGTACATGCGCTCGCAACTTGATGACGTCGTAAATTGGACGATGTTATTTTCGAGGGAAGTGTCCAGTGAGTTGTTCCCCATAGATGAAGCTGGGCAACGTAGATCAACGCATAGGCCGAACTATCGCATTCATAAGTGGGCGAGATATCACAATAGGTATTGGGAGAAAAGGTACAGATAATCGAATTGTAAATTGTGCGAATATCTGTGCAATACCAAACGTAATCCCCTGTTAATAGAATGGGGGTCATCATTATTTAAAAACGGGTAAATGTTTTCAAAGCGTTTACATTTTATTGACATAATTTAATTGGCTGTATAAAATGTTGATATTTAACAGAAGAAATAAACGACTCGTGGTCGTTGTTTATCGTACAATAACACACTGCCGGGAGATCAAACCACTCGGGGGTGCGCCTGTAAACAATGCGAATGGAACTAAACATGATGAATGTTGCAAAACAAATTCCATCAATAGAAAACGATTTGTTGAAAACTAAGCTCCGTCTAAATGTTGAATTATTTATGTTGCATGTTTCAAACGGCTATATTCCGTGTGAGGGTCACGTGTAGCCTTCAAATGTTCACACTTGTTAATTCATATAGTACTATGACACCTCCTTGGGTATTCTCCTTGAGTATTTGAATAACTGAAAATAGATATTTTGTAGGGAGATAACCTTTATAATAGAAAATGATAGCTATATGAGGATTCCGGTTTAGAATACGTCCTCAGCATTATATGCTGGTCGAATGAAGGGCCTAAATTAATCTCGTGGTCAACCTCGGCGGCGTGGGTGGATGTTCACAATCACTGGGTTGTACGGTCCAAATTCGATTATTTACATATAGCTGGATTACTGAAACAAACACATTAATAGTCATCAAAAAGATATTTTGATAAAGGCGAAGGTATAAATATTGAATGGATTTTATCGTTTATGTTATTGTTTTAGTCTAGGTCTTCCATATGTCAGGTATATTGAAGACTTAGACTGAAACAATAACGCAAACCATAAAATACAATGAATATTTGTACCTTCGGCCTAATCAAAAGGTCTTTTTCATGACTATTAATGTGCTTGTTCTTTAACGTGTTTTAATCTACGTCTTCAATATGCAAGGATCCGGGAAGATCCTTGGTAGAATAGGTCTTCAGCAACCCATGCTTGCCGTAAATGGCGACTTCGCTTGTCCTAAGAGGCGACTAACGGGATCAGGTGATCAGGCTCGCTGATTTGGTTGATCCATGTAATCGTATCCCGATTGACTTGATCGATGCTCATGATATCAATCACTGGACTGTCTGGTCCAGACTCGATTATTTACAGACCACCGTTATATAGCTGGAGTATTACTTAGTGCGGCGTTAAACAACGAACAAACAATGTGCCAGGTATCACCGAGGCGGTAGGTTAGCTTTCTACATGAAAGCTAGCACTATAAAACCATAAATCTGGACTAGTACAAGCGGTTATTAAAGCACGCACGCGCACATTCATGCACGTGGCTATACAAGTAGAATAATCTTGACTTATCAGACTCAATCATTTAAAGGTCACCGTCATAGACCTGGATGTTTGCTCAGTGCGGCGCTAACAGCAAACATACAAGTGCATTTAGGCCTGTGACATAATTCATCCATACAGTACTGGTCCCTGTTGAATAAGTGTGTGAATTGTGTACTCCAAAATCATAAATAATACAGTATCGTGGCGTGCGTTATTTAGTTATGGCCTGATGAGAGCCGTACGTGGTACGAATTGAAAGTGCTTGCCAATCAACAATACCGTATTCGACTAGCTGGAACGTGTCTTTCTGAGCAGATTCTGAGAGCAACATGCACGCTTTTAATGTTACGGGTAACCACAAAAGCAAAACGGGGCTACAGGCGTTCGTCAGTTCTTTTAGACCGCCTCCGTGGTCTAGTGGTAGAGCGTCCGCCCGGAGAGCGAAAGGTCAGAGAATCGAACACCGCACATCCCTCTCTCCGGGCGGACGCTCTACTACTAGACCACGGAGGCAGTCTTTTCTACGCCGACCTGTAGTCAGCAAAAAACATCGTTTTACCACGACGACATGTAATCTGCAACATGACAGTTATACCACGCCAACTTGTCGTCAGGAACATTGCAGGAATATCACGCCAACTTGTAGTCAGCAACATTACAGTTATACCAAGCCGACATGGAGTCAGCAACATTATAGTTATACCACGCCGACTTGTAGTCAGCAACATTACAGTTATACCACGCAAACGTCTAGTCAGCAACATTTAAGTTATACCACGCCGACCTGTAGTCAGCAACATCACTGTTATACCATGTCGACCTGTAGTCAACGACATTATAGTTATAAAACGATTTGGTGGAGGTACTGTCATGGTGTGGGGAGCCATATCCTACACGGGTAGATCACAGTTAGTGGTTGTCCATGGCAATCTTACAGCAAACCGATACATAGACCAAATTCTGCAAGAGGGGGTGTGACCAGGTACTGACCATGACGCCCCCTTGTGGCTACACATGTGCAATGACTGACCTGAATTAATGCTGACATATAGTCAACAACATTATAGTTCTACCACGCCGACTTGTAGTCAGCAACATTATAGTTATACCACGCCGACATGTAGTCAACAACATTTTAGTCATACCACGACGACATGTAGTCAACAACATAATGGTTATACCATGAGGACATGTAGTCAACAACATTATAGTTATACCACGCCGACTTGTAGTCAACAACATTATAGTTATACCACGCCGACATGTAGTCAACAACATAATAGTTATACCACGCCGACATGTAGTCAACAACATAATGGTTATACCACGCCGACTTGTAGTCAGCAACATTATAGTTATACCACGCCGACATGTAGTCAACAACATTATAGTTATACCACGCCGACTTGTAGTCAGCAACATTATAGTTATACCACGACGACATGTAGTCAGCAACATTATAGTTATACCACGCCGACATGTAGTCAACAACATTATAGTTATACCACGCCGACATGTAGTCAACAACATTATAGTTATACCACGCCGACTTGTAGTCAGCAACATTATAGTTATACCACGCCGACATGTAGTCAGCAACATTATAGTTATACCACGCCGACATGTAGTCAACAACATTATAGTTATACCACGCCGACATGTAGTCAGCAACATTATAGTTATACCACGCCGACTTGTAGTCAGCAACATTATAGTTATACCACGCCGACATGTAGTCAGCAACATTATAGTTATACCACGCCGACATGTAGTCAACAACATTATAGTTATACCACGCCGACTTGTAGTCAGCAACATTATAGTTATACCACGACGACATGTAGTCAACAACATTATAGTTATACCACGCCGACTTGTAGTCAGCAACATTATAGTTATACCACGCCGACATGTAGTCAGCAACATTACAGTTATACCACGCCGACCTCAGATCAGCGCCGTGAAGTCCAGCAAGAAATACAACAAGAAATACAGCAAGAAATTATAACTCCGTCACTTCTTCTTGGTTAGAAATTAATTTATTAGAATATCTACAGAAACAATTGCTTTCTTTTACATGAAGCATGCTTTCGGCACCGGGCTTCAACTTAACATATACTAAACATTCTGAGATAGAGTATGCCCATATAAGGATATGACGTCATGGAGAGTGTTGATTGGTGGGACACAAGCGGGATGGTTTATGTCCTCTTGTATCACATGAAAGTACCACAGAGTGTTATCTGCGAAAAGTGCATAAATGTTCCACACACCTGGAATATTTGACTGTAATACAACCGCTAATAGGTCACTAGGATAATGCATGTTTGCATATTTCGTGGTTTCTGTAGAGGGGAGGGATGAATCATAGATTGAAACAAGTTGCTTTGATGGAATCCGATATGTTCGAAGCCGGTGGTGATTCCGTTATTGAGGCGACAACTGGTTGGCTGACTCGTGTTGGAAGTGAAGCCCATGTCTGATTGGCTACTACTACCACGTGATGGTGTGGTTGGCGGTGAGGGTCATGTTCAAGTTCAGTAGCTGAATGATCTGTGGATGGAGAGTGTGAGATGAAGAAAAGATCGTGTGTCAAACGAATATACGTATAATTCCATACCGTTTGTTTTAAATGTCTTGATTTCTATTCTGTATTGTATTCATACCAATATAAAATATCATTTGTTGTCATTATGAATCACATAAGTTCATCAAATCTTCCATAATATTATTTTTGAGGTGCTAAACAATATTTACCCACTCTATATGTGTGTGTGAAATAAAACTATTTGAAGTAAACTGCCGGGCAAAAGAAAGTAATCACTTTTAAATTGGATTAGACCAAAACATGAGAAACTTTATCAAAACGTCACTAGGCTGAAAACACTGCAAATTTAAGATCCAAAACACAACTATAATTCCCGTATGAAATACATCATCATCGAATAACTATTTCATATTTGTTTCATTTTTAGCGACCATCAAACATGGGTGTATGTTTTCCTTTGACAGACACTTATGTTTTACCCAATTTGACCTAATTTATTGAAAACAAATATAGTTATATATATTACTCTGCATGTACGAAACATGACATCCACGGGACTCACCGCGTATGACTGCCTGATGTTGGTGACGGGCACCTGTTCCCCGTCCAGCGTGACGGTCAGTGGGATGGTCTGGAGGCCGTAGATGTCCAACATGTCCAGCGGTGGCAACGCTGAACCCGACCCTGACACTGCCGGCCCAACGTGTAGTTCACCAGCCTGCAGAAACAAACACGTCCATGATTCAGTCTTGGCTCACCAAATATACTCCACCGACTACAAAAACCCGTCCAGTTTAGTCCCGAGTCACTTCCGCTGTTGAGACACAAATGTGGTTGTATGTGTCCTGTACTTAATACACAGGCCGGAAGCTCGGAAGGGTGGTCAGGAGGCCGTAAAAGTTAAAACAGATGCCTAGTTTCTCTATTTATAGTCAGGTGATAGCGGCATATCTAGCGCATAGAAACAGACTGCCGATTTTCAGATATTTTCCACAAAAGAATGTGGCAGTCAAAGTCTAAAATTAGACTATGTATTTTAAGTTCGAGAAACTTCTTGTATTTGTCCATTTCTTAAAAAGTAATAACCGTATGAGATAAAAAGTATAAGATAGGTTACACCGCAAAACATCTCTTAGAAAGGTGGCCGATTTGATAGTGTTGTTTCCTGTATTTCTACGTCACTTCCTGTTGCCTTAAGATCGGGGTGTGTTGCTGGCAGACATGGGATATGAATCACGGATCAGGCAGCCCACAAAGATGAGAGATTTTACTGGCGCTTCACTAATAATGTCGCCCTGATCTGCTGGTGGCCGTCCGCTCTGGATTTATTTTCAAGTTGGCTGCATAGTTTGTACTGTGATTGAATATAATGCGCCTCACATCACCGAGGTGCAAATCTCCATGTCCTTATGCCCAGGTATCAAGTTTTGATTCTGTATCTACATGTATGCACAGGGATTATATATTCGATCTGAGATCTATTGGTTAACCAATTGATATGACATATGGAGAGTTACTGATCATCAACAACCTACCTTGGTCATACCGAACTTGATCAGTGAATACTGTTTATTCTCGTATGTATCTGAAAAGGTAAATATATCACTTGTTTTTATTTACGTTAACTTACATGTCAAATCTAAAATCTAATGTAGACAGACATTTAGCATACTCTGTGCTCTATATCCTAACGCGTATTGTGAGACCTCTGAAGACAGACATTTAACATACAGCGTGCTCCATACCCTTACGCGAATTATGAGGCCTTAGAGAAAGGGTTTCCCCTCTGAAGCGTGAGGTGCGTTTGGGTAAAAAGTTCGCTTTTGACGGCACAAGTCTGGGTTTAGTTCCAAGGGGGCACAACGTGTGGAGACCATTCCTGGCAATATTGCTTGAGTGTTACTACTATCCACAGGCGCCACGGGTTGCCACGTGGTGTTAGTCGGTACAATTCGCTGTACAGAGTTACGTCCCTCAGATATACCAGAATCCGATGGTCGTTTGTTCGATTCCCACATTCTTCCTAATAATTCTTGGTATGTGCGCACCATACGCGTGCCCGTCGCTTGTACCAAGTGGTAAGTATCTAAAACCTGCATCACGTTGGGATTCACTGACACGTCGTGATACAAAACAAACAGACTGAGAAAAGTAGCTCTTGTACTCACTTCTTCGCAAGGTTAACTTATATGCAAGACAGTACACACGTCCGAAGCGTATCACTTTACCTATCTTCTCCCCGTTATCCGAGAACAACCTCACCTATCTTCTCCCCGTTATCCGAGAATAACCTCAACTATCTTCGTCCCGTTATCCGAGAACAGCCTCACATATCTTCTCCCCGATATCCGTGAACAACCTCACCTATCTTCTCCCCGTTATGCGAGAAGAACCTCACCTATATTCTCCCTGTTATGCGAGAACAGCCTCACATATCTTCTCCCGGTTATGCGAGAACAACCTCACTTATCTTCTCCCCGTTATCCGAGAACAACCTCACCTATCTTCGTCCTGTTATCCAAGAACAACCATACCTATCCTCTCCCCGTATGCGAGAATAACCTCACCTATATTCTCCCCGTCATCCCAGAACAACTCTCCATGTGCCCTTCCTTCTTGGTCTAGGGCAACAATGGCGCCCATCTTGTTCTGTCGGCTGCAATATGAAACAGAGCGATCTAAAATACCCCTACACTTTTGTCAAGTATTCACGTTTGCTTGAAGGGTAAACAAGTATACATGTTTGTTGGACACAGGTATTAAAATTAATAGATCTTGTCCATGTAAAACTGGCTTGTGTTTAAAATTTAACTTGATTATTTGAAATTTAAGATAATAAATCCATATTAATTTTATATTATTCTCTATCTATCTGGATTTGTCTACGGTCGGCGGGGTAGCCTTGTGGTAAAGTCATTGCATCACTACGCCACAGTCCTACTGGGGGCAATATGGAAGCGCGTCTTGGTGTCCACCGCCAGTACTTAAAGCGGCGTTTAACTCAACTCACTCATCCACATCTGATACTTGCATCACTTTCTATCTGCATATAGCTATTTCTCTAGACCCGTGAAAATCCGGGTTAGAATAGCTCTTCAGGAACCCATACTTGCCGTAAAAGGCGACTATGTTTGTCGTAAGCGGCGACTAATGGGATCGGGTGGTCAGGCTCGCTGACTTGGTTGATGCATGTCATCGATCCCAAATGCGTGGATCGATGCTCATGATATCAATCACTTGATTGCCTGGTCCAGACTCGAGTATTTACAGACCGCCGTCATATAGCTGTAATACTGCTGAGTGCGGCGTTAAACAACATACCAACTATTTCTGTAAATCGATTAATTTTCACAGATCAGACCTGGCGTGTGTTGTGTTTGCCGGAACCTGCCAGGGAATCACGTGCCCACCTCGGACGTGAAGGTTGAATTTCTCGAGCGGTGTGTAAAGGTCAAGGTGATCTTTTTTCACCGCTACCTTTTCACCCTATTAAAAGTGAAAACATCGACACGCAGTAAAAACATTTTGCTCCGAAGAGCGTCATTACAGTTATTTGTCACTATTTTAATCTTTAAACAAGTTGTATGATTTATCATAATGCTTCTAGTTGTACGCATTTGTTTTGCAAAGAAATGAACACGCCCTGAACAAGCGTGGAGAAACAATACCCCACAAGGGTCGTACTTACAGCACTTACATGCACGGGGCGTATGAAAAGTGAGGTTCGGTCGGACATTGTACTCCATGCCTAAAAGCTTACGGAAAGTTACGGAAAGGGACGAAGTGGTGGCGAATACTTACGAAGGTTAGCGATGGCGTCGTGTGACTTCAATCTGGAGCACACGGTACTGCACGTTATACAGGTAGTTGTGGGGGAACTAAAGTTAACGAAAGTTATCACAATGATGTATTCGTGACTTACCTTGAAGTAGTCATACCAGTTGGCTTCTGGGAAATATGCTTTCACGGATGTCTTGCCCTGGAGATATGATAACAAGTCAGTAACGTTTATGATTTGCTTGAGTACACCTATAAATGACACGCGTCTTCAAATACCGTCAGTACTATACAGAGCTGGTAACGTTCAAAAACACACCATTTCGTTTACAGTGATCCATCATATATAATGTTTATCACTATTTTGTCTCGTACAACCAAATGGAATATCAACAACACACAGAATTACACAAATATACTGATGAAAGTAAAAAGGGGACATATATAATCATAATCGTTTTTGGAAATGACATCCCGTATGTTTCTCGAAGATGATCACGTGATATCAGCATGTTGCCGTGCATCATGTTTGTTGTGAGGCACTTCTGGCCCAGTCGTCGAGGGAGCTGCAATCCGCAAAATTACGTCCATTCACAGTTCTGTATCTGCCGATCATGGGTTAGAATCCCCGATACACCCTTATTATGATCGCCCGTGGGCACACTTGCCGTCCACATCAGAGTACGAATGTCTCCAACCTACATGTATATAAGTCCACTTTCCACCCTTGCTGAACTAGGCTGGAATTACGGATGGATGAACGTGTCGATGCATAGTTCAATCAAAATCGCCTAAGGAAATCTCCATCCGTTTCATGAACAACATGGCGACTGCAGTACTTGTAAAACATGTGTACCTTCAACTGGCACGGACAGATTTATTGCAAATCTTTGCATGTTATTTTAATCAAGGTGATTTGATGCACTTTGCGGGGTAAAACCCGTTTTCTTACAATATAGATTTTTATTATCGATCAGATCGGTTTGATTTGGCGCCGTTTTGTTAGAAGCAAATACAAGTGATATGAGCGATGGAATATGATTTGTCAGTAGGAGGGACTTAGAAGGGACACAACTCGTAAGAGCCATTGGCGGTGCTACGATCGAATAACGGCATTCCAGCCTACTTTGACAAGAGAAGGAAACAGGACATTTACAACTCCATTGCCTCGGGAATATGTCGAATCCCGGTTCGTCCAGTTAATGTTTCTGGTTCTGTCAGCACCATACCCGTAAACATGGGTTTCGCCAAAGTGGTAAACCTCTGATACCTGCTTCACTCCGGGTTTTCCTCCCACATGGAATAATGTTCAAAGCGGCGTTAAAACCCACTCACTCACTTATTCAACTGGCACGTGATGATATAACCGAAATACTTTTCAAACCGTCGTTAAGCCTACTTACTCTTGCTTCTTGAAACGATACATGTATATTTAAACTCTATCCAGCTATATTTCTATGAATCACTCAGTTCTATCAGTATTTACATCTGTCAATGTTGTTTGTGTTTACGTTAATCACATGCTTCTCTCGTTTCCTGGGATCCAAGTTGGTGTTGTTAGCTATGTTAGGTTACCTCGTACAGGACGGGATCCCAGTATGTGTTGTGTTTACATGTTGTTAGCTATGTGAGGTTACCTCGTACAGGACGGGATCCCAGTTGGTGTTGTGTGTACATGTTGTTAGCTATGTGAGGTTACCTCGTACAGGACGGGATCCCAGTTGGTGTTGTGTGTACATGTTGTTAGCTGTGTGAGGTTACCTCGTACAGGACGGGATCCAAGTATGTGTTGTGTGTACATGTTGTTAGCTATGTGAGGTTACCTCGTACAGGACGGGATCCCAGTTGGTGTTGTGGGTACATGTTGTTAGCTGTGTGAGGTTACCTCGTAAAGGACGGGATCCAAATTGGTGTTGTGTGTACATGTTGTTAGCTGTGTGAGGTTACCTTGTACAGGACGGGAGACACGAGTAGTGCAGAGCCCAACAGGAATTGTTCATCAACACTCAGACAGACTGGGTCGTCGGGAAACCTGTATAACACACAGCATTCAGACAGACTGGGTTGTCAGGAAACCCGTATAACACACAACACTCAGACAGACTGGGTCTCCAGGAAATCTGTATAACACACAACAATCAGGCAGACTGGGTCGCCAGGAAACCTGTAAAACACACAACACTCAGACAGACTGGATGGTCAGGAATACTGTATTACACACAACACTCAGACAGACTGGGTCGCCAGGAAACCTGTATAACACACAACACTCAGACAGACTGGGTCGTCAGAAACCTGTAAAACACACATACTCAGACAGACTGGGTCGCCAGGAAACCTGTATAACACACAACACTCAGACAGACTGGGTCGTCAGAAACCTGTAGAACACACAACACTCAGACAGACTGGGTCGCCAGGAAACCCGTATAACACACAACACTCAGACAGAGTGGGTCGCCAGGAAACCTGTATAACACACAACACTCAGACAGAGTGGGTCTTTAGAAATCTGTATAACACACAACACTCAGACAGACTGGGTCGCCAGGAAATCTGTATAACACACAACACTCAGACAGACTCGATGGTCAGGAATACTGTATAACCCACAACACTCAGACAGACTGGGTCGCCAGGAAACCTGTAAAACACACAACACTCAGACAGACTGGGTCGCCAGGAAACCTGTATAACACACAACACTCTAACAGAGTGGGTCTTTAGAACTCTGTATAACACACAACACTCAGACAGACTGGGTCGTTAGAAATCTGTATAACATACAACACTCAGACAGACTGGGTCGTCGGGAAACCTATATAACACACAGCATTCAGACAGACTGGGTCGTCAGGAAACCTGTATAACACACGACACTCAGACAGACAGGGTCGTCAGAAACCTGTATAACACACAACACCTAGACAGACTAGGTCCTCAGGAAACCTGTATAACACACAACACTCAGACAGACTGGCTTGCTTAGGAAACCTGTATAACACACAACACTCAGACAGACTAACACACACATATTAAGTTAATACTTTTGAGTAAGTTGTGTTCAACTTCTCTTTCATACAGTTTAAGGCTCGGATAAGTATAACTCTGCTCCTAAACATATTGCTCTTGTCTTATAAGCGTAGGTTCTTATTTATAATATTCATCTGCCGCTGCCCGTTTCAGAAAGTTATCGTAGCGCTGCGACTGTTTAAGTATAGGCGTTACGGTAGCAGTAGGGCCACGATCACTTCCCGCAGGTCCCAAGTCTATATGCTGTGACTGTTTGTGTTAGCACTTACTCGAACAGTAGCGGCCTCATGACGGTGTCTCCCCGCGCATGCGCATTGTGCATGAGCGTGTAGAAGTAAGGAAGCAGCCTGTAGCGGGTGACCAGTGCCTCCTTTGCCAGTCGGATGAATCGGGCGTCCCAGGCAGCGGGGTCTTGGGGCTGAGGGAGAGACAGGCGTAGTTTGTTATTGAACAAAACTGAGAATGAACACAAAGTTACCAGAATTTACCGGAATAATTTATATTTTCTGCAAAATAAATGAGATGCAACCCGCTCGCACACACACACACACACACACACACACGCAGGCACGCAGGCACGCACACGCACACACACACACACACACACACACACACACACACACACACACACACACACACACACACACACACACACACACACACACACACACTTCCCCTCGAATATCAGATGGTTGGTCCATATCTGTGTCGTTATTCGTGACTTATGAATCATACCACAACGGTGACATTGGCAAAAAAAAGAGTTTGTGTCAAGCACATCAAACGCTGTTTTTCTTTCATCATCTCGTCCTTCATTTAGTATATTTGAAATTAAACCCATATTATGAAAGAAAATAAGTATATATAATAATTGTGGACAACCAAGGTTACATTATTGTATGTACTGATCGAAATGGAAAAAAAAACCCACCAACATCCTATGGCCAGCACCCACCTTAAAGATGTGAGGGGCGTCCCCGAGGGCGTTGTGGTTGCGGGCGAAGGGGTAGAAGGCGCCGAGCTGATGCCACCTGACACACATCTCATACTCCGCCTCGTACCAGAACCCGCAGATGTCCGCGCCGTTCTGCAACCAAAGGGGAGATAACTCTCTCATGGAGAACACGTCAATGCCGGTTTGCCGGTGTAACGATAATAATTGACTTGCTGCCTGCACAATAACTGGATGGAATTTTGAAACCCGGCTTTGACAGAGACTAGACTGCCATACTGACGTTCCTCAGGGCGTGTACATGTAGAAACACAGGTGCTGACACCATTCAGCATTGGGTTGGTTTGTTGTTTAACGCCGCACTCAGCAATATTTCAGCTATATGACGGCGGTCTGTAAATAATTGAGTGTGGACCAGACAATCAAGTGATCAATATCATGAGCATCGATCCACGCAATTGGGATACGATGACATGCATCAACGAACTCAGCGAGCCTGACCATCGATCCAATCCCGTTAGTCGCCCCTTACGACAAGCAAAGTCGCCTTTTACGGCACGCATGGTCATGGGCTGCTGAAGGCCTGCTCTATCCCGGATCTTCAGGGGTCTCAGCATTGGGAGACTCATTGGACATTATCTGGTGCTGGTCGCTTTATACGAAGGTTGAGTTCGTGTTCACGATCCTCGAGTAAACAGGTGCATTTGTAATGGAAACAGTTAATAGTGTGTAAATCAAGAGTTCTTACCAACGAAAAGCCGAAAAGCCCGAACTCTAGGATACCTGGAGATAATACAAAGATATTCAAATACTTCCAGTGATCCAGACACCTCAGATGGATAATTTATGATATTAGTAGGGAGGGAGTGATAGGGAGAAGATAAGGAGTGTGCCATCTCATCATAGGACGAGCGTCATTCCGTCACATCCATCTAGCCAGGGATGTTTCAAGCCTTGACGTATGACCAGCCTCTCGAATGTCAACCCGTCACGTATAAATAACCATCGATGATTTAATACCTGACGTTCGACTAGCCAGAAGAGTGTAACGCTGTGTAGTACGACTAGCCACTAGAGTACGGTTATCCAGTGTTTCAACCCACTCAACCGACAGCTATATAGTTTAGTTATAGTTATAAGCGATGGCGTTTAACCCGTGACATACCGATAATAGACCACTTCATCTGTTCCCAGCGGGCCTGGTTGTCCCCCATCCACTTGGTGGCGTACTTCCCCGTCCCCGCAAAGGATGATCTGGTCATCGTCCACGGCCGCTTGCCGGGGAACATACTCGCCAAAGCACTGCATGGAAACGACATTCATCAACAGGGAGACAACTCATTTGTACGTGCGTATGTCCTGTTTACTCACGTGTATGTCTGTATGTCATGTGTATTTACTTGTATGTATGCTTGTCATGTGTACTCACTTGTATGTATGTATATCCTGTATGGTCTGTTTACTGACTTGTATGTCAGTATGGCCTGTTTACTCATTTGTATGTGTGTATGTCCTGTTTACCCACTTGTCTGTCTGTATGGCCTGCTTACCTACATGTCTGTCTGTATGTTCTGTTTACTCACTTGCATGTCTGTATGTCCTGTTTACTCACTCGTATGTCTGTACGGCCTGTTTACTCACCTGTGTGTCTGTATGGCTTGTTTACTCACTTGTATGTCTGTATGTCCTGTTTACTCACTCGTATGTCTGTATGGCCTGTTTACTCACTTGTGTGTCTGTATGGCTTGTTTACTCACTTGTATGTCTGTATGGCCTGTTCACTCACGCGTATGTCCTGGTACTCACTTGTATGTCTGTATGGCTTGTTTACTCACTTGTATGTCTGTATGGCCTGTTCACTCACGTGTATGGCCTGTTTACTCACTTGTAGGTCTGTATGGCTTGGTTACTCACTTGTATGACTGTATGGCCTGTTTACTCACTCGTATGTCTGTATGGCCTGTTTACTCGCTTGTATGTCTGTATGGTCTGTTTCCTTGTATGTCTGTTTGGCCTGTTTACTCAAGTGTATGTCTGTATGGCCTGCTCACTCACTTGTATGTCTGTATGGCCTGTTTACTTGTATGTCTGTATAGCCTGTTTACTCACGTGTATGTCTGTATGGCCTGTTTACTCACTTGTATGTCTGTATGGTCTGTTTACTTGTATGTCTGTATGGCCTGTTCACTCACGTGTATGACTGTATGGCCTGTTCACTCACTTGTATGTCTGTATGGCCTGTTTACTTGTATGTCTGTATGGCCTGTTTACTCACGTGTATGACTCTATGGCCTGTTTACTCACTTGTATGTCTGTATGGCCTGTTTACTCAAGTGTAAGTCTGTATGGCCTGTTTACTCACTTGTATGTCTGTATGGCCGGTTTTTCTTTTATGTCTGTATGGCCTGTTTACTCACGTGTATGTCTGTATGGCCTGTTTACTCACTTGTATGTCTGTATGACCTGTTTACTCAAGTGTATGTCTGTATGGCCTGTTTACTCACTTGTATGTCTGTATGGCCTGTTTACTCAAGTGTAAGTCTGTATGGCCTGTTCACTCACTTGTATGTCTGTATGGCCTGTTTACTTGTATGTCTGTATGGCCTGTTTACTCAAGTGTATGTCTGTATGGCCTGTTCACTCACTTGTTTGTCGGTATGGCCTGTTTACTCAAGTGTATGTCTGTATGGCCTGTTTACTTGTATGTCTGTATGGCCTGTTTACTCAAGTGTATGTCTGTATGGCCTGTTCACTCACTTGTATGTCTGTAAGGCCTGTTTACTTGTATGTCTGTATGGCCTGTTTACTCAAGTGTATGTCTGTATGGCCTGTTTACTCACTTGTGTGTCTGTATGGCCTGTTTACTCAAGTGTAAGTCTGTATGGCCTGTTTACTCACTTGTATGTCTGTATGGCCTGTTTACTCACTTGTATGTCTGTATGGCCTGTTCACTCACTTGTGTGTCTGTATGGCCTGTTTACTCACGTGTATGTCTGTATGGCCTGTTTACTCAATTGTATGTCTGTATGGCCTGTTTACTCATTTGTATGTCTGTATGTCCTGTTTACTCACTTGTATGTCTGTATGGCCTGTTTACTCAAGTGTATGTCTGTATGGCCTGTTAACTCACTTGTATGTCTGTATGGCCTGTTTACTCACTTGTATGTCTGTATGGCCTGTTTACTCAAGTGTAAGTCTGTATGGCCTGTTCACTCACTTGTATGTCTGTATGGCCTGTGTGTGGGCATACAGACTGTGGACGTTGTAGTGGCTGTCGAGGTGGTGTCTTGAATCCATGCAGAGAGTCTTGTCATACATACGCCCGTCCTTTCCGCGGCCCAAGATGTCTGCAATGATTACATTATTATCCTATGCTGTAAGGCGGGTATACCATATTACGGGTTGTTCCACTTGCTTGGGGCGTTTTGCGGGTTGTTGAACTTACTTGGGGCGTGTGGTGGGTTGTTCCATTTACATTGGGTGTATGGCACGTTTTTCCACTTACTTTGGGTATATGGCGGGCTGTTTCCCTTATTTGGGGTATATGACGGAGTGTTCCACTTATTTGGGGTATATATCGGGATGTTCCACTTACTTGGGGTATATGTCGGGATGTTCCACTTACGTGGGGTATATGTCGGGATGTTCCACTGACTAGGGGTATATGACGGAGTGTTCCACTTACTTGGGGTATTAGTCGGGATGTTCCACTGACTAGGGGTATATGACGGAGTGTTCCACTTACTTGGGGTATTAGTCGGGATATTCAACTTACTAGGGCTATATGACGGAGTGTTCCATTTACTTGGGGTATATGTCGGGATATTCCACTTACTAGGGCTATATGACGGAGTGTTCCATTTACTTGGGGTATATGTCGGGATATTCCACTTACTTGGGCTATATGACGGAGTGTTCCATTTACTTGGGGTATGTATCGGGATGTTCCACTTACGTGGGGTATATTTCGGGATGTTCCACTTACTAGGGGTAAATGACGGAGTGTTCCACTTACTTGGGGTATGTATCGGGATGTTCCACTTACGTGGGGTATATGTCGGGATGTTCCACTGACTAGGGGTATATGACGGAGTGTTCCACTTACTTGGGGTATTAGTCGGGATGTTCCACTGACTAGGGGTATATGACGGAGTGTTCCACTTACTTGGGGTATAGGACGGGATATTCCACTTACTAGGGCTATATGACGGAGTGTTCCATTTACTTGGGGTATATGTCGGGATGTTCCATTTACGTGGGGTATATGTCGGGATGTTCCACTGACTAGGGGTATATGACGGAGTGTTCCACTTACTTGGGGTATTAGTCGGGATGTTCCACTGACTAGGGGTATATGACGGAGTGTTCCACTTACTTGGGGTATAGGACGGGATATTCCACTTACTAGGGCTATATGACGGAGTGTTCCATTTACTTGGGGTATATGTCGGGATGTTCCATTTACTTGGGGTATATGTCGGGATGTTCCACTTACTTGGGGTATATGACGGAGTGTTCCACTTACTAGGGGTATATGTCGGGATGTTCCACTTACTTGGGGTATATGACGGGGTGTTCCACTTACTAGGGGTATATGACGGAGTGTTCCACTTACTTGGGGTATATGACGGGGTGTTCCACTTACTTGGGGTATATGGCGGGTTGTTCCACTTGTTTTTCTCACACCCGTCTACAGATCCGGGGATAAAACTTGACGGTTCGTTCATGTCCTGAAGAATGTATGAATGGGCACTTTACTTCGTAACATTGAAACCGTCATGTAAGCAAATCAGCTATAATTTCTCACTCACTGTTCCAGGATAAATGCCGTAGTACAGTTGCTACATCACAAAATACATCACACCACTCAAGCTAATGGTAACAATACTGGTCTATGTGGATGCCAGAACTCTGTGTGTTCTATGTGAAGTCTCTGGCCCAAGTACCGAGTCTATGTGGATGCCAGAACTCTGTGTGGTCTATGTGAGGTCTCTGGCCCAAGTACCGAGTGTATGTGGATGCCAGAACTCTGGGTGGTCTATGTGAAGTCTATGTGGTGTTGTAAATAGTCGACATCCATACACAGTAGTGTTAAAGAAACTGCATCCTATTGAGATGAATACTTGAGATTTGCTTCCTACATTTAAGGAACATTGTACATTTTAAGGTACAATTGAACATCCTTTTTACGTATATTTCAAAGAGCGTCATACGATTCCAGCGTTGTTTGATCAGGGTTACAGCATTCCCTGCCTTAGTCAGGTATTATGGTAGACATGTGGAGGACATTTCCACATCTGAGGCATCAGTGACCAAACCCATGTCCAAATGAATTCCCCATTTTCCCCCTTTTACCATATGTTTCCCCGTCTGTTCAGATGGACATTTGGCTGTGCGTGTGTTTGTGTCACCGGTGGGGGCAGGAATCGCTCATGTTTTCGAGGTCTCTTGTTATCATCGTTAGTGGGGCATAGTCGGAATCTTACAGTGCCTTTATTTACAGCCAGAGAACGACAAGAAAGAAGTTGTTTTCAAGCTACTGAGATGCGTGAGTGGCTGTATAATTGTCTGATATGAAGTTCTGAAAAGGATCTGATTATACATGTAAATTGGAAAACATGAAGTTTATTTCACTAAAAGACCTATGTTTTAAACCCAACAACAGGGAGGGGCATTCGAAGGTCAAGTGGGGTCACTGGGGCCCCCAGCCCATTATGGGGAGATAATATGGTTGCATTGCACTACTCACGATCCAGAGGGCATCAAACAAGATACTCTCCTTGTTACGGAAATACCGTGCCCACTTCTCCCACCAGGCCTCCGTCTTTGGGTTGGTGAAGTCAGGGTACCCGGTGGTGCCTGGCCATACCTGAAACAACGGCACACAACTGAGTTGGTAACACACAGCAGTCACCCACCTCATCTCACGATGAGTGAGTGATTGAGTTGGGTTTAACGCCGCTTTAAACATTATTCCTGTTATATCGCGGCGTGTCAGCTTAATGTGGGAGGAAAGCCCGAAGTGATGCAGGTCTCAGACGTTTACCACTTCGGTGAAACCCACGAACACGTGTATGGTGCTGACAAACCTAGAAACATAATCGGGGCGAACCGGGATTCGAACCCACAATCATAGGTTTCTGGCGTGTCCAAGGGACGCAACTCTGCACAGCGAATCGCGGCGCCTTTGACGACTGGGCACAGCCATTTGCGGCGCCTTTGACGACTTGGCCACCCGTACCCTCTCACGATGACACCAACTATAATACGTACGATACCACGTGAGCGCACGCGTGCATTTTATTACGCACACCTGTGTGCATTTGGTATGTGCCTGTGTAAGCTCTTTGTGCGTGTGGGTGTGTGTTGATGTGTTGGTGTGTTGGTGTGAGTGTGTGTGCTTGTGTGTGTGTCTTTTTAGTATGTATTGTGTTGTGTATATTATTATTATCAGTATCATTTTATTTATTTTTTCATTTTTTTATCATTTTTTTCATGTCTTACGATATGTATTTTAATGTTCATGTCTTATAAGCCCAAGAAGGCTGGAAATATATTTATGTCTTGTATGTGTTTATATGTAAATGCCATCTTAAGACAAATAAACAATTATCACTATACACGACAACCTGATCCATTTTAATCACCTCTCATGACAATCTGAAGCTAACCTATACCAGTTCATGGGTTACGAAAGAATAGGCTGTCTCCAGCTATATCTCCTGAGAATAAGAGTAAGACTGCCGGCAAATCAAGGGTGCTCCGTTGTTTCAGCCATTACAAGTGACCATCCCACATACATACTTCGGCTATGAGGGGGCCTGAGTTGTTCGGAGTCATCACCAGCACCCCCTCCCTGACGCCGTCGTTGAAGACGTCGTAACCGGGACTATTGTTTTGTATGTCTCTGCTGATGTTGGGGTCGTTGCCCAGTCCAGGGTCCTGCAGAAGAAATGCGAGTATATTGTGATATGTGTTTTTAACAAAGTTACATGGGACTATATATCTAGACGAGTAGTTAGGAGATATCGACATTGCTCAATACTAAAGTTATGCTAATCTCCTCCTTCCTTAACTCCTACAATTGTGACGCGGACGTCACGCTGGAGGAGTATGACGTCATAATACATGGATACTTCCGTGACAACTGAATCCGCCTCGTTAGCAATGTGGAGAAAAGTCAGTTAAATTATAGTACATTAAAATAAATATATGTTACACTGTTGATAATAAATGTGGTATCGAGTTTTCCCTGCCGAATACACAATTTTAATCACCACCATGTCACGTGCACTCACAACGAAGACAAGTCTTGTAACGGTAAACAAAGTCACCACGATGACAGGTCTATTCATAACAACGACGCGTGTACCAACCAGGATGACAGGTTTACACAACACGACAACACGTGTACTCACAACGTCGACACGTCTACTCATCGCGATGACACGTCAAACCACCAAGACCACACGTCTACTCACCACGATGACAACGAACTTCTGGTTGTGGTCGTGAAGGTCCCTCACGAGGTCCGGGAGTCCGTCGAAGGTGTCGCGGTCGTAGCTGAAGACGAACTTGTTGTACATGTATTCCAGGTCGGCCCACTGGGCGTCCTGCGGAGACAGAGACGGATCAATTTGACATTTGGACATATCGATTAGGCAGATCGCCTCCCTATAAAATGACATTGTCCCTACTGTCATCAGTCGCTTTACATATAGTAATAGCATCAACATCTGTTGACTTCACAATATCGTCATCGCTATCATCATCCTCCTCATCATCATCATAACTATCAGCCAAATGTTTGTTTTGCATGACGGTACCTATCACCAACAACGTCGTTATTAGCATCATCATCACACTAATTATTATCATGTATATCATCATTGTCTTCATCAATAAAATATCAGCAATATATCCATCATTGTCATAATTATTACTATCATCATCGTTGTCATCACCATTATTGCTATTATTACTCACATATGGTATCCCGGCTTCCCTGTTCCTGTCGATGACCACCCTCAGGTCGGTGATGTTAGTGTAGCCCCAGCGGCAGAGGTGGAAGCCCAGCGTCCAGTAGGGGGGCATGACGGGTCTACCCACAGCCTATACACATGACATAAGCATCATATTGTAACATAATACACAAAGTTATATACAAGAAAACACTAAATGTGAATAAACGATATCTTTTTCATCACACATACAATACAATATAGCACTACAGTGACTTCAAATGTAATATTAGAAATTGGAATCACAAATTGTATAAACGTGGGGATTCTTTTCTGACTTAACGGGCGCTTTAACTACTAGGCTACCCCATTGACAGGAGTAAGCGACAATTTAGGTTCAGATACCTCCGTGTACTGTTGTACTGCCTCCCCAGGTGAGGGGCCGAGGAAGATGTAGAAGTCGAGGACGCCGCCGATAGTTCTAAACGTGATGGCCGGGTGTGGAGACGGCTGCAGGAACACCTCTGTTGAGAGTAAGGAAGTCGTTAAACAATAAGTAGATCAACAGGGCGACCTGCTAAACAGTATCAAACCCGTGGGAGGTGAACCTGTGGTTGAGCACCGGCTTACGCCACACGTTCAATCAGTCACACCATTGGTGAGTAGTAGTAAGCATAAGTCTCATAGGAAATATACATTTCCCTCTTCTTTTACGACGTACATTGGATATGTTTTAACACAAAACGTTGGACAAAATATTTCATTTTTTTCTTTGGGACAAAGGGATATTTGGAATGTGGCAACTACCACGGGAATATAGTGTTTTGATTAAAATGACGAATGTTGGGGCTTTCCTACCCTAAAACGTCCCTGGATTTCTTCTTATTAAAGTTATGAAAATTTGAGAGTGAGTTTTTTCATAATAGATAGTATGGGTGTTTGATATATGCTGAACCTCAAAACAACCCCTATTTCTTAAGCGTGTACTCAGGTAGTCGTGTCACTTGTGTGTTTGACATCAGGGCTTATTTTAATTTGGTGTTCGATGGTAATAGAAAAAAAATCATTACAGCAACTACGGTTTTAACGAACACGCTTATAACGAGCTGACGGATATAACGAACTATTTTTTTGGTCCTGTCTATTTGCTGTATATATTCCGTACATTTGCTTACAACGAACTACGGTTATAACGAATTAAAATTAGTGGTCCCTTTGAGTTCGTTTTAACCGTAGTTTACTTGTTTTGATCAGAACATAAAATATTTTCATCATTCATAGAAAATGTGTTTCTTACCCATGGCGTTGCTGTTCTTGAGGAAGACCATGTGGGCACTACCGCCGTCCTCCACGTTCATGTAGGTGGGGTGAGCGCCGTACAGGTTCCACCCATCCTGGAAGTAATGTGCCCCATTATAACGTTACATATCTGCGTTATAGCGTGTCACGAACGCCTGTACACGCACGTTACTTCGTGGCACAGTCTGCACATATTCCAAAGATATTAATTATGTTCACATTAGTTGTGCAGAAACAAAATACTGTGAACTCGCAGCTGGAAATTCGCAGTGCAGAGTTGCGTCCCTTGGTCACATAAGTCTGCACGTATTCCATAGATAATAATTATGTTCACATTAAGTTGTGCAGAAAGAAAATACTGTGAACTCGAAGCTGGGAATTCGATGTGCAGAGTTGCGTCCCTTTGGCACACTAGAAACCTATGATTAGTATGGTGGTCGAGATGGGACATCGCTTTCTCGCCTTCGTCTCGTGCTATCGCTTTCTCGTCTCCTGTTATCGTTTACCCGTCTCGCGTTATCGCTTTAGCGCTTTCTCGCTGCCCCTCTCGGCCACCATAGATTCGACCTGATTATGTTTCTAGGTTTGTCCATGGTTGTGGCTTTCAAGCGTTAGAGCTGAAAACATTCCCCTGAAGCAATAAGCCAGAGCTTTCATAGAGCTAAAGCTGTCGTAAGTAGACGATAAACTAGAACAATCGTTGTTCAGCGGACCTACGACTTACAACGGGCGCGACATCCCTGGTGAAGATGCTCCACGTCTTCCAGCTGAGGTCATGGCGGAGTTGGCGATGGTTGTGTTCTCCGAAGCCGTACACGTTGTCGGACGCCAGGCGGGTGGTCAGCTGCAGGTACTGGTCGGAGTAGACGAACCCTGGCAGAGTTGTGTTGAATCTGGAGACGGATGAGGAGACATTGAGATATCTTACACAGGAGAGTGCAGGAGATATATGCATTACGGTGTAACTGCCTAGGAACTGGACATGATACAATAAGGCATATAGCACAGTTGGATACGGAGATGTCTCAGATGAGGCTTTGATATTACTACCGCACATGACAGAGAAAGAGGTAAATTAGCTTCTGGTCCGATTGAGATTTGAAACCTCTGATTGACCAGTCGGAATCGATTATTCCAAAATTCATAGAAGAATGGAGTTGGGTACAGTTTCCTGTTGCTGAAATAACAGCTACATGTTTGACGTTTGTATGAAACGTGTTTAATCAACAATACCAATGTGTAGAGGTTTGCCTTTTCTGACTCACACTGTCTGGTTGTCAGACGTCCGGGTGACGAGGACGCCAAACACGGGATCATCCACGATGGTCACGTTGTACAGCCGCGATGTCTCGCTCGCCTTGGTGCTAGGAGACGCAATGTTCAGAACGCTATCCGGTATCTCCCATCTTGTCCCATTCTTGGGATAGAACTGGGGGAAAATCACAGGAGCATAGTACATGTGTGGGTCACACGTGTGTAGGTTTGAAGTGGTTGTTGAGATAGTTACCATGTTTCTAATTATTGCGTGAGTGAGTGAGTGAGTTCGGTTTAACGCCGCTTTTAACAGTTTTCCAGTTATATCACGGCGTGTCATCTTAATGTGGGAGGAAAGCCCGAAGTGATGCAGGTCTCAGACGTTTACCACTTCGGTGAAACCCACGAGCACGGGTATGGTGCTGACAAACCTAGAAACATAATCGGGGCGAACCGGGATTCGAACCCACAATCATAGGTTTCTGGCGTGCTCAAGGGACGCAACTCTGCACATCGAATCGCGGCGCCTTAGACGACTGGGCCACCCGTGCCCCCTTCTAATTATTGAGAGACAGTAAGCTCATAAAGTTCTACATTTACATTAAGCTAAAGGGGGGCACGGGCGGCTTTATCTTCGAGACAACAGTACGTTCGACACATCAAAGTTCGACACATCGGTGTTTGACTGGATATGTATATTACCAATGGGTGTATACCAATGGGCAATATTCGTTCGTAATATATAGAATCTTCCATACATCATTGCATAAGCGTATTCCAGAAAGTATCTATGACGAAGTCGTCAACGTACCCTGAACCTGAGGCGGGCGTCGGTTTGGAACTCCACGTCGAGGTAGATGTTGTCAATAGACGCCGACCCATTCAGGTACTGAGGATGAGGTGTCCGCGCCAGTTCAATGCGCATGCCCATCGGTGTCTCCTTCACGTCACCCACAATCCTGTAGCCATATCCAGCGGGGAACTTGCACTTGGGGGCGCGGTCGTCAGACACCGGTGCCCATACACAGCTGTACGGAAAGAGAGTCCAAATGGAGTATGGGTCTTTATTAGTGTGAACGCGTGACATAACGCCACCTTGAACTGTAGCTCAGTCATATAATGCTCAATCATTTTAAGTTAAAGGAAATATTTAGATCTTATATTTTTCAATATAATCATTCATTATATGTCATCATCAATGATTTTAATATCTGGTCATAGAAGTATGATTATTTATGCAGTTGAATTATGTATCTCTGAAAATGTAGCCTATGACTGTATTTGAGCCTATTTGAATCCAACTACATACCCCCTTGTTTTGCACTTCTCCTCTGAAGCGTCAGACTCTGGATGACAATCAACGATGACATCTGAACGCTTGCGGATCCTGAAACGAATCAACCAAACGCAGACATTGCAAGAATAATCGTTACCCGGTAAACATCTGAGGATCTTACTTAAGCACCATCCACAGACTACTTCGCTAGTGTTTGTTTGGTTTGTTGATGGTTGTTTAATTCCACATTCAACAATATGCCAGCTATATGAGGGTGTAAATAATCAAGTCTGGACCAGACAATCCAGTGACTGACAACAACTTAAAATTCTACGCTTTATCTGGGCAACACACTTTCTTTCATTCGTATACAAAAGCCGGGACATTGATACTTTGAGCAACGATCCATGTAACTCTGAAACGTTGACGTGCAACCCACCACCCGATCCATTTGGTCGCCTTACAACAAGCATGGGTTGTTGGGGAGAGGGAAAACAAAGTGGACGTGACCGTGAAAAGGAACTGGAGAGTGAAAGACAGAGAAAGTAACGAGTAACGACTTAAGTGGAGGAAAAGGAGATGGGGACAAAAGCTGGCACAGAGAAGGGGTGAAGGAAAGAGTATTAACAGAAGAGACGGAGAGAGAAGAGGAGGTAAAATTGGGAAGGGAAAAGGGATGGGGAGAAATTAGGATAAAAGGGGAAAAGAAAATAAAGGTGTGAAAGAATATATTTGAAGGACCGCGGAAGTGACGGAAGGAGACAGGAGTGTTAGAATATGATTGAGGCACCTACTCGGCTGGTTTTACTTCCTCCTTTGTGAAATTACGGACGAGTCCCACAGTGGGAGCGACAGCCAGGCACACGACAAGGAACCCAGCAAACGCGATCTTCCTCTTGGCTGTGGAGCCCCCAACAGCATTGCCAGTCATATCTCAACCTGAAACATAAACAGGAGTTCTTGTAATGAGATACAGCAGACCCGTTGACGTAGTCTTGTAGTGAGATGTAACAAAGACCCGTTGACGTAGTCTTGTAGTTAGATGTAACAAAAACCAGTTGACGTAGTCTTGTAGTGAGATGTTACACAGACCCGTTGACGTAGTCTTGTAGTGAGATGTAACAAAGACCCGTTGACGTAGTCGTTATGAGATGTAACAAAGACCCGTTGACGTAGTCTTGCAATGAGATTTAACAAAGACCCGTTGACGTAGTCTTGTAGTGAGATGTAAGTAAGACCAGTTGACGTAGTCTTGGAGTGAGATGTAACAAAGACCCGTTCATGTAGTCTTGTAGTGAGATGTTACAAAACCCATTGACGTAGTCTTGTAGTGAGATGTAACAAAACCCGTTGACGTAGTCTTGTAGTGAGATGTTACAAAACCCGTTGACGTAGTCTTGTAGTGAGATGTAACAAAGACCCGTTGACGTAGTCTTGTAGTGAGATGTAACAAAACCAGTTGACGTAGTCTTGTAGTGAGATGTTACAAAACCCGTTGACGTAGTCTTGCAATGAGATTTAACAAAGACCCGTTGACGTAGTATTGTAGTGAGATGTAACAAAGACCCGTTGACGTAGTCTTGTAGTGAGATGTAACAAAGACCCGTTGACGTAGTCTTGCAATGAGATTTAACAAAGACCCGTTGACGTAGTCTTGTAGTGAGATGTAAGTAAGACACGTTGAGGTAGTATTGTAGTGAGATGTAACAAAGACCCGTTAACGTAGTCTTGTAGTGAGATGTAACAAAGACCCGTTGACGTAGTCTTGTAGTGAGATGTAACAAAGACCCGTTGACGTAGTCTTGTAGTGAGATGTAACAAAGACCCGTTGACGTAGTCTTGTAGTGAGATGTAAGTAAGACCCGTTGACATAGTCTTGTACTGAGATGTAACAAAGACCCGTTGACGTAGTCGTGTTGTGAGATGTAACAAGACCCCTTGACGTAGTCTTGTAGTGAGATGTAATAATGACCCGTTGACGTAGTCTTGTAGTGAGATGTAATAATGACCCGTTGACGTAGTCTTGTAGTGAGATGTAACAAAGACCCGTTTACGTAGTCGTTATGAGATGTAACAAAGACCCGTTGAGGTAATCAATAACCTTGAACATGACGTTATATCTCATATCACATACACCTCTGCTTGACTACGTGCCACTGGACAAGCTGCTACTGTTGATTTCGGCTCACGTCAGGAATGTGTTATCATGGAGCACCTGTATTTATCTAAATTGGTGCACAACAACTACTTCGGTGCACATGTTAAGATGACCTTATGATGACCTGATTTACCTCTTATCTTCAAAGGTAAAAGGGGCGCTGGCGCAGCCTAGTTAAACAGTTTATAGTGTTCCATATGATGTTATTGCTAGTATATTGCTAAAAGCGGGTAAAGCCAAACTTACTGACATTCAGTATCTCGAACCTAGCGGGACCGTGTTGCAACCTCGAGATATCCGGAATTTTGAGATACCTCACAGTTACGCGAAATGATTATATGCGCTTCTCATTACTGTGAATGAGGCAGATGCCAACTTCGAGATAAAGGTTCAAGGTTCGAGATAACGCCATGTATTGTTTATCTCGATTTTGAAAAAGCGGTTTGGGACCGAGAATATGTTCGAGATATCGATACCTTAAGACAACGGGATCCGACTGTGTATATAAATATTAAACTTGGTCGACAATTTGCTTCCTCTAGTATACGCTATCCGCGTTATAATGATCAGTATGTCTAACTAGTTACAAGTTCACACATGGTGATCGGTATTCGATATGAAATAATTTGTTATTTCATATTTATTTATTGTCAGGCTAACCTATGATGTACAAAGGTGTCATCGAGTCATTTGTTCGGCCATTTCGTTTAAGCGTTGACCAAATCGGGGTTTCCATGCCTTGTTAATAATATCATATTTTCTATGAAAAGTTCACGCGTCCCAGTAACCGCAAATCCATTGACATATAATCAGGTATTCGTTCTCGATTAGTTTGGTAAACTTGCCAATGAACAAATGAAGAATGAAAGAATGAATCAATCAATCAGAAGAAGTACGAATTTGCTTTTCAGTAAAACAAATCCACCACAAGTGTCATGCAACACGTGTTTTACACAGACACAGTTAACAAATGCATCCCCGTGCATATGCAAGATATCTATCTACTTATCTAGTGGTACTACAAGTGGGTACAAAGAGACTTCTTGACAACAGACAAGATGGATAGTTGTTGCTATGACAACGTGCACGCGCCTCTTCGGAATCCAGGATGAGGGATACAAGGGTTGTTCAGGTGCATTTTTCATCTCAGATGTTCAGAGGCATGTATAATGTCAGCGTATATGAATACAGGTGAATCCTGTCGACATGCAGATGAAGCACACCTCGTCGTGCCCTTTAGGTATAACTCGTACAAGCATTACACAAGACACTGTTCTGCGTGTATATCCCCGCGACATAGACACACTGAGGGCTTGTGGCATGGCAGTCACTTACCTTGTTGTATACCGGCTATATTACACGGACGGTAGACCCCCTGGTGGCGTTGTGGTACGACAGTCACTTACCTTGTTGTATACCGGCTATATTACACGGACGGTAGACCCACTGGTGGCGTTGTGGTACAAGAGTCACTAATCTTGTTGTATACCGGCTATATTACACGGACGGTAGACCCACTGGTGGCGTTGTGGCACGACAGTCCCTTACCTTGTTGTATACCGGCTATATTACACGGACGGTAGACCCACTGGTGGCGTTGTGTCACTTACCTTGGTGTACAACGGCTATATCTGTTGGGCGTTGTGGCATGGCAGTAGACCCACTCGTGGCGTTGTGTCACTTACCTTGGTGTATAACGGCTATATCTGTTGGGCGAGAAAAAAAATCCTTTTGGAATACCTTTCAGTCTCGGCTCAGCCGGTCGTAGTGACGTCGTGGTGTGGAGCAATGCACTCCCAAACCCGGTGTGTTTGTCAGTTAACATGTTCTGACATACGACCCTCGCTATACTGAAGCAATGCTGCACAGCCTAAAAAATAATGCTATAAATAATGTACATAAAATCAATTATAAATAAATAATGTAGTGACATAACTACAGCAGTGAATAAACAAGGCCTTTGTAGAAAGTGGTCAAATGTAGCATATGTTATATGTTATATATCACGCATTGGTCCTCCACTTAACACTCGGTGTCAGGGTAACCTATAAGAAGTATATAAAGGTTCTCGTCAGTTGTCATATGTGTCTAACAGCTGCAGTTATAGAATATATGTTATATTTGGGACAACACTTCATAGTAAAGTACAAATTCGAGTACTTTTCGTCGATTAGATGCCTTACACTGAGAAGTGTTGGTTCGAATCCCGGATGGTACTCAAAAAGTATCAGAATGTATACTTTACTAAGAAAGTGTAATCCCCAAAATAACATATATTCTATAACTGCAGCTCTTAGACACATATAACAACTGACGAGAACTTTTTATATACTTCTTATAGGTTATCATGACACCGAGTGATAAGTACGGGACCAATGCGTGACCTGACTGCACAGTCCCTGCCCGTTGTTGTCATGTATTGGTTTTGACAATCGTGATTGTATTATTGCTCCCTTTAACATACATGGATCATGCTAGCCGGGTTGCCTGCGTGGACACACAGGCCTCATGTGTCTCATCCGCATCCCGCTGCATCCAGGAGCCTCGGGCCACACACCTCGGTAGCTGATCAGGAAACACGACGTGACGGTAATAATAGTTCTAGCCTGGCAACCATCCAATTGCATGTCAGCCACATGCTCCTGTACATATGTCAGACCAGATTGGACCACCTCCTTGGACTAGTGGTAGAGAGCGGAAGGTCCGGTGTTCGATCCCGGCCTCGTCATACCAAAAGACGTTTAAAGATGGTACTTGTTGTTACCCTGTCTGGCGCTGGGTATTAAGGGGTTAAAACAAGGACTGGTCGGCTAGGAGTCAGTATACTGTGTTTGAGTGGGGTATTCATGTGTAACTGCGGCATGGTATCTCAGTGAGCTAGCACTATAAATCGGCATCAGTCCGGACTACTCCAAGAAGCCACACACACACACACATACGTGCACGCACGTCGCTTTAGAAGTGCAATAATCTTGGACGCGACAGTGGACATTTTTTAGATCCCTGGACGCAACGTATATTTGAGGCAGCCGCCATTTCAATAATGGCATTTATTTACGGTTTTACGGTATAGAGTCACCCAGGTCAGGAACTGGGCCAGCCGCACCTTTTCCCTCTGCCGGTTTCAAATCTGCATGTGTATTTGTTACTGTTATCCTTGAGATCCAATATACTCACTGACAACATTTTTTAGGTACACACTTTAGATATCATGAATACACAATGTATTTGATTCAAATCGAGATGGTATAATTATTATCCTGTTTTTAATAAATTAACAAAACATCGTCAATCAATACAAGGCGATTTCCGGTAAATAATACTCCAAACAATATAAATATATATGTTATAAATGTTAAGCTGTTTATGCTGTATGTTTCAAACGGCCCTGGTCCGTGTGAGCTTCACGTATAGCCTTCTAAAGTACATCTTAGTTTAGTCATGGTCATGCTGTTCTATGATAAATCGACAAACTAACACTACATTTGTCACATTCTACATGGAGGTGTCAGCCATTTATTAGCGGGTTCCTGAGTTCCACATCGGCTGTGAGAGAATATTTCATAAAAAGCAATAACGAAAATAGGTCTTCAGCCAGCCATGCTTGACGTAAGAGTCGACTATGTTTGTCGTAAGAGGCTACTATGTTTGTCGTAAAAGGCGACTATGTTTGTCGTAAGAGGCGACTTTGTTTGTCGTTAGAGGCGACTATGTTTGTCGTAAGAGGCGACTATGTTTGTCGTAAGAGGCTACTATGTTTGTCGTAAGAGGCGACTATGTTTGTCGTTAGAGGCGACTATGTTTGTCGTAAGAGGTGACTACGTTTGTCGTAAGAGGCGACTATGTTTGTCGCAAGAGGCGACTTACGAGTGGTCGGGCTCATTGACTTGTCATCGTATCCCAATTGCGTATACGTAGATCGATGCTCATGATGTCAATCACTGGACTGTTTGGTCTAGCCATATAGCTGGTACATTGGTGAGTGTGGTTTAAAACAACAAACAAACAACAAACAAAGCAATAACATGTTTTTCAATTAATTCAAAGTAGTGAATAGGGACTACTGTTTGGTAGTATTAATTGGAGTGAGATAACACAACGTGAAGCCTTTTTCAGCTACATCACGGTGTGTCAGCTTAATGAGGAAGACATGACCGACATGACACATGTCACACGTGTTTATCGTATCATCCAGGAGAATTGGTTATTGGTCATATTCAGGGCGAATCTGGGACCTGAACAAATGGCCAGCGGATCCTGGCGCTGCTAAGGGACACAACTATTTACACATTATGGCGCTCTACGCCACCAGGTTACAGGCATATGTGATTCCATACCCTATATAGCATATTCATAAATTTTGAAAAATACACATACAAAGATGTCTACGGATTTAGGTACTCTTCATACACATGGTATGAGTGAGTGGGTATGGTTTTACGCCGCTTTTAGCAGTATTGCAGCAATATCACGGCGGGGGACACCAGAAATGGGCTTCATACATTGTACCCATGTCGGGAATCGAACCCCGTCATCGGCGTGACGAGCGAACGCTTTAACCACTAGGCTACCCGACCGCCCTCATACACATGGTCCACAATTACAATTGTACAGATCCAACTGCAGAAGTCATCTAACTGAAGTATAACATATTTTGGAGAGGGAAGAATGTCAAGAAGGATGCTAAAACAAATGTATTTACACCATCACCATCCCGCCGACAAATCTACACTTCAACACAAATTTTCTTTTAAGCATTTGCATCAACAGTAAGGATGTTTATTAAGCGAACACATATAATTTATTTGACTAACATCAAGTTGGGGAATAGTGAGTGAGTGAGTGAGTTGGGTTTAACGCCGCTTTTAACATTATTCTAGTTATATCACAGCGATCAGCTAAATGTGGGAGGAAAGCCCGAAGTGATGCAGGTCCCAGACGTTTACCACTTCGGTGAAACCCACGAGCACGGGTATGGTGCTGACAAACCTAGAAACATAATCAGGGCGAACCGGGATTCGAACCTACGATCATAGATTTCCGGCATCAGCAGAACAGCTTGTTGTAACTGTATAGACATGTCTCGCTAGCTGTCCAGTTGAACACGGTCATTCCCCTGTTGTAAATACTGTTGAAGGCGGCGTTTAGCCAAACTCATTATCAGTCAGATATTCACAGATACTTTCTGAGACCAACACTTACAGAGTTGCCAGTATGACAAATCAATCGTATTCCACACTCTCCACATTCTACGAATCTATTGTCCCGATTCTTTGCACTTGAACTTTATAAATAAGAAATATCATGCCTAAAGTACACGTTCGCACGACATAGTTCAACCAACTAAACGATACTCTTTAACCAGTAAATATTTAAGATGTCGTGCCTGATTTGTATGTCAATGTTTTGATCTGTGACACTTAATATTTTAACTTCATACAAAGAGTGGTCAAGTGGTCAATACATCGATGTTGTTCGCACGTATCCGTTAAGGTAAAAACCTTGGAGATAGGTGTCCAAAGCGTATGCTCTCTGCACCTACAGTCATGGGCAGAGCCACCATTCTTACACGGCTTTTGTTTCATATTGTTATACATGAAACCATGTCAGCAAGGATGACGTTACCTGGTGCTACGGGCATCTTGTTATGTAAAGATAAATGTGGAGGTATCAGTGGTTGCGACGGTGTCATCTTCTTCTGGGAGCTACTCCGGTGCGACGTCTTCGCAGGCCTGGCTCATCACGTCCAGATGTCAGACGGGAAAAGGTTCAATGTCACCGCAATGGCAAACGTAATTATTGTTGAATGATAATTTTATTTGGATTTGAACATAAATATTGAGTATGTATTATATAAAATGTGTTTCTGTTGAAGAGTTCAAATAAAAAGAGAGCATGCAATAAAGATTTAGGACTTCATTTTTACGAGACAGTGAAATACATGCGTATTGTACTAGCAGGATCAGCCAGTCTTGAAAGACTCTTCTGTTATCGTGGGCCTCCAACTCCCATATCAGGACATACCATCCCATCATATATTAATCTAAAGATTTATATGCCATTTGTTATTTTGTTTGATTGTTGTTCGGCACATATTATGTTTTGTAAATGTAAATTTTCTGTTTTTAACACAGGTATGTAGTGGAAAATGTCCTGTGAAGTCCCGAGGCATTGCCACACGGAGAGGGTTATGCGCATGCGTGACACCTGGTACTGCCGTAAACACGGTTACCAGAAGCAGAAGTGCAGCTGTCACGATAACACGCTTTCGGGCTGGTAAGTGGGCTGGAATATTGCTGAGTGAGGCATCAAACAAACAACACTCATACTAAAGTACTCATTACTCAGTATGGTAGGTAGCAACCATGTTGAAGTCGTTGGTTGGTTGGTTGTTTCACGCCGCACTCAGCAATCATCCAGCTATATGACGGCGGTCTGTAAATAATCGAGTCTGGACCAGATAACTCAGTGATTGACATCATGAGCATCGATCAATGCAATTGGGATACGATGACATGCAACAACCAAGTCAGCGAGCCTGACCATCCGATCCCGTTAGTCGCCTTTTACGACAAGCATAGTCTCCTTGTACGGCAAGTATGGGTTGCTTAAGACCTATTCTACCCCGGAATCTTCACGGGTCTGTAGTCATTAATAAAGGAGCGATAACAACCGAAAGAATGAAACACAAATCACTTCGTCGCTTTCGTCGTTTTGATATTCAAGTTTAATGGGAAACTGGTTTGTGAATGAAGTTCAGTGTAGATTTTAGGCTAACGATACAAATAACGAACTTATAATTATATATATGTTTACCTTATATACCGGAACACCTAAACATTGCAATACGTATCGTTTGAGA